ATGGTAATAAAATAATTTGTGCATACCTATAGTACAGACGTATGTACTTTAATTTTCTGATAATTGTAGTAGGAGCTCAGAGACCATTTCTAGCTAATATTTCTTCATGAGAGCTTTCTTTTTTCTGTTCTTTCTCGGAATTTTTGGCGAAATAATAAATTACTCAAACCTGCACCAACTAACCCGAAATTCTGGAAAATGTTTTTAGTGCAGTGCCTTAGATAATACGAAGACACTTCAGTAAAGACCTTCTCTTTAACTAACTACAACCTTTTAACTCAAGCAAGTTGGAAACAATCAAGATGCTGTTGGTCCGCCATCCTTGTATGAACCTACTTGGAATGAGAGGAGCGAAGCCAGTAGAGAGGCTGGGCGTTGCCATTCAGCCAGGCCATTCACAAAAATATTATCTCAGATTTTATTCTACACTTTAAGCCCAGCGTAAGATCTCCAGTTCCTATATACGTTCATTTGCGTCCCGATGAAACGCGAAAGACTGAGCGCGGGGCTAGATGGATGGAATAAATTGACGTATGACGCCGTTTTGATTCTAATGGTGACTTCCGCAACCTAGAAAAATATTGTCATTAGCGCTACATTAAAACTTGTTCATGCCAATTTATTGAGATTTACTCTTCCCCTTCTCCCCCTTGCTTTAACCACCATTCCTCTTATCTTCTGTCCTCTATTTATTATGACTATCTTTTTACAAAAGAACAAGAAATGGTTCACCGTCCGCGTTGAATCCCAAGGCCATGAGGAAGTCAATTTTTTCGCGTGATGGCCTGCCGAGACCTTTCGGTTTATAATGACAGGTTCCGAAATATCAATATTTAATTTGTCCCTGCCACGTTTTTTTTTTTGTTTTTTTTTTTCTCTCTTTTTTGACATTTGTTTTTGTGTAGGCTTGCTGAATGATGCGACCGAGGAAGAGGGGGAGGGGGGGGGGCGAAGGGGGGCCGTCGCCTTGTCAAAGCCGCATATAAAGAGAGTTTTGTGAATGGGAGGAGCGGGCAGAGCCAGGGCGCACCAGACGCCGAAAGAGGGCTCGGCATGCTCTCTTGGCCAACCAGAAGTCGAAAGTGATCCCCTAGCGGTGGTAGCGACAAACACTTTTATAAGAGCCTAAGTATTAAACGTAGTAGCTCTTCATGGTTGAAAGTAGAGTGCACGTGGATTTTCGTCGGAGTCTGACCGCTCGGACGGCAGATTCCCGGCCCTCGACACCTGGCGTACGGATTACGTCGATGGTTCTGCTAGATTTCTATTTTGCATGACGGCGATCGAAAAATCACGTGCACCATCTTTTCAATCACCTAGAGTTACTCCGACGCACTTATTTGTTTTGATTCTCGCGACAACCGCAAGAGTATTATTCGCGGCTTCTGGCTGGCCACGTTCGAATTTGCGAAGACGCCCTGGAAGACGCCCAGCCCGCTTTCGACCTATGATCCTCTTCATTTGATCCCAATGTATGGCTAAACCCTCTCTATATACGACTGTGCGCCTTGTCTGGCCTACCAATGATTTTTGTGACGGCCTCCTAGACAACTGTACTACCCGTCGGTTGTCCGAATTAAACAAATGATGTATCAATCTCCTGGTATGTATACGTCCTAGTTCGGCACATGCTGCGCCATCTGGGAGGCCCCTGTGATATCTGCCACCGGGACGATCCCTGCCAGTGTGCCGAAATGTCCGGGGTCACGTAGCTTATGGGCCGCCTTTGGAATACAAGCTGCGAAAAGGAGGTGACGGCGTCGATTGTCTGCAAGCGTCTACAGGCTTGGCTCAGGCTCTTCGGCCACTATACTCCTCGCCGCGCCGCAGCGCACGCATGCGCATTAATTAGCAATCAGTCTGCGGGCGCCGGTGTCCGCCAATAAATTCTAAGCGCTCTCCGGAGTTTGAGTTGCCTCCTTCCTTGAATCTAGGCTCTTTGAGAGTCCATAGAACCCCTGTGCCACGTAAAGAATTCTTACACCAACCAGAATCCGTCCAGGTGGCCAACCGTACATCAGACACCCACTTGGGCTGACTTGCCGCTGTCTAAAAAGATATATACAACACAATTACTTTGGGTGCATGCTTATGATTTAGTAGTTTCGTTGCCTCCGCGTTTTTCTTTGTCGATTGGCTTTTAGAACCAAATTTACTATTTGGTCGTATTAGACCCCACTTATTTATCTTCAATTGGTTTAAACTTGTTATACCGTTTGGAGGTGCAGGTAGAGCGACAAATTTTATTTTTATTCATTTCAGCTCTCACTTTGATAATGGAAATTAGTGCATATGAAAATCAAGACACAGTGTCTGAGAGGATTTAATTATCGACAACTCCGCCAAAGGCCTCAATCAAATCCGAGATGTGCACTCAGATAACCGTTGTTTTAAATATTTAGCCTAAGCTTTTTTTTTCTTTTTTTGTGGAAAGTATGCAGAGCTGGAAAATGAGGGTTGACATCAAGCAAAGGTTGTAATTTCTCCGTTCTTCAACACGCTGTAAAGAATGTTTGGATTTCCTTTGTTTGATAATTAGCTCATATCGCGGTGCTTAGAGTTAATAATGCTCGACACAAAAAGCAGCCTCCTTATTGATACGGAGGGTTTCCTTAAATTATATTTTGAAAAATCTTGACTTAGAATCTTGTGACACTTCAAAATTTTACTTTTTTCGGTGAGCCGTTTTTCTCAGTAAATATGGCAAAATGCCAAGCATTTGACGATTTTGTACAGCATCTAAAGTACTTCATATTTACAGCATTAGTCAAATATTCAAATTCTTCGCGCTTTTTTGTTTTCGCCTCATTAACACTGATACTGCTAATAAATCTGCAGAAACTGCAATTGGTTTCAATACGTTGAATCATATGAAAAGTTGGGTTGACGTTAACGATCATCTAACTTAAACTAGGCAAATGCAATATCTTTTTTTTTACGTTTGAAACTAAGACGCTGCTGGCGGCTTAGTGCCAAAGCTAAAGTGCATGTTTTGAATTCTAAAAGTAAAAGGAAATTGTTCAGCTAGTGATGAGAGAAGTTACAGAATGTTGATCATGCAGACAACGACCAGGGAGCACAGAATGTGTTCTAAACAAATCACGCAAAATTATTTTCTAATTTTTATTTATTTTTTTATATATTTTCGTTTTAATTCTCTCTTCCTAACCCTTGTTTTCTTTCTTCCTTCCCTCCTCACTCTTTCCTCTCCCTCCTCCTCCTCTCCCTCACCCTCCTAGTGATTTCCTTCCTAAATTTAACGGGGAAGCTGGATTGGTGCAGAGGTCACGTTACGTCAAGCCACGACCTCCATTTCCCCGCTGAAACTGGATTGTGTAGCGCTCCCAGCGTGTCACTCGTTCATGACGCTCGTTCTCATAGAAAACGACCCATAAAACACAATATGTGTTAAAAAAAACTATTTGTTTCAGGGCGGTAGTCGCGCCTAACGCCAAAAACATGACAAAGCGATTGTTAAAAATTCCACGGTTCCGACCGGTTCGAATCACTCCTCCCCCGCGGAACTGAGCCAGAATTAAACTAGAACTGGACCCGGAGCCGAACCGGAACGTTAGATTGTTTTGACCTACATATTCTGATCATGGCCTCATGTGTCCGCGTACTAAACTTCGTGCACGCGTCTACATGAGCCGAATCGTGAAAATGTTCTCCACCTGCCTGCACCCGACAGGATATAGGGGTGAATCACCCGTATCTCGTGGTAACAGCTGCTGTCTGTAAACCACATCCGCTCTTTAAACATCACGCGGTACAAAATCTACTCTATGGAGAGTTTCCACGATGCCGTGCAAAGCTGTGACTTGTGAATGATACGCAAGCTTTCTACTGGGATAACTGTCTAAGCGTTTGAAGTGAACTGTAGCACAAGAGGCAAGGCAGTGTTTCGCGTCCCAGCCGACTCCTGGTAATGCGTTTATTTGTTCTTCTGCAACTCAGGGCGGCTTGAGAGAGACGATATTTTAATGTTAGTATTGTAAGAGTCACCATAAGGGCACCTTTTTAACAGTGTAAATTGAAGTGTGAGTCAGTCGGGTTTGGTAGCTGTTTCTGAGACAGTCTAAAGAAAAAGTCGCCACTTGCAAAAATATGTCTGTGTCCGAGAATATACTGGTCCTCGATAAATATCACGACAGCATTGAGGTAACAAGCGAAGACTGGGGGCTCCGCTGATTTTATTTGCATTTCACAGGGTATTTCGTTTAATCGATAGATTTTTACATGGAGAGATTGGTGCAGCTTTAGTGTCACATGAAGTTCAATAGAAAAGCCGCTCTAAAGTGTTAAAGATCATTTTTAACTTTTATTGGTGCTCTACATTTTAGAGCGCAGCTCTTACCGCTCATTCACACAGGAAGCGGATCCGCGTTCGCAAAGCGGTTGCGAACGCGGTTGTATAAAGATCCAGTACCATTGCACGCGCATTTGATGTCATCGAGTGCGCGTGCAATTGCACTGGATCTTTCTCGTGATCTTTATGCAACCACTTTGGCGACCGCTTTGCGAACGCGGATCCGCTTCCAGTATGAATGAGCGGTTGGGCGCCCGTTTTCGGCTTGAGCGGCGTCGCCGTCGGCGTAACCGCGTGGTGCATCATGGGACGCGTGACGTCATTGATGAAGTCATCAGTGACGATGCGATGCCAATGAAGTCATCAGTGACGTCATTGATGACGTCTTTGGCATCGACTGTTTATTGGCACGACTGTTTATCGTTATGTAATGTTTACCTGCTATTCAAGAAACATACTTCTGGTGCTCTTCGCGCCTAGTATTGGTCCTTGTTTTTAGAGCCACATTTTTGTAAGAGTTCCCGCTGTAGGGCTGGAAAAAATTAATAAGTTTAGTGCCAAAACAGGCTTTTATTTACATTTTACGTACTAAATAGTACCGATACATCCGTATTACGGTCCCATCTCAAGGGTTTCAACCGAAGCCATTAAAATTGTCTTTTTTCGCAGTTGGTGACATTTTCGCAGCAACATGGCTACTCCTTCTTCCGATGCCAGCACTGCCGACAAACACCCGAATAAACCGTCGATTGCACCCCAGATCTACGTGAGTGCACACAAACTGCAGCGAGCCATCAACATCGAAACGCTCGATTTGCTGCACGAGTCATTCGGTAGCAGACCAAACTCCAGCCAGCAGTTCATCGACGTGGGCTGCGGGACGGGAGACTTCACGCACCAAGACCTGCTGCCGCGCTGCCAGCCCTGCCGCAGGATCGTGGCCACGGACCTCTCCAGAAAGATGGTGGAGTACGCCAAGGAGAACTTCGCGCATCCGCAGATTTCGTACGAGGTGCATGACATTGAAAGCGACGTCTCTGGACTCGTCGAGAAGTACGGCAAGTTTGACCGCGTCTACTCGTTCTTCGCCCTGCAATGGGCGGGGGACCTCACCGCTGCTCTGCGCAATGTGGCCGACTTGATGACCGACGAAGGCGAGTGCTTGCTGCTGTTCGGGGCTCGCCTCACTCTGCACAAGGTGTGGAGGAGGATTATGCAGGTGGACCGGTGGAAGCCGTACAAGGAAGTGAGTTCACCCGCTCAATTGTTTCTTCTATTCTTGGCTTTTGTATAGCGGGACTATTCTAATGAAACGACACTGAAAAAATACCGGTTCCTTTGCTGGGATTTTCTGGCTAAATATAGCGGGAACTAAGTGTCAGGCAACGCTATTAGATTAGCTCAGTTACCGAACTGCTCATAGACGCTGCATGCACGAGCAGTACCCCCCTCTCTCACCACGACTCACCTCCCGTCGTGCGACGCGCCGGACGGCTGCTATGGTAACTGCAGCGTATTCTGTGGAATACGCATATTTCGAAGCGCAGCGTCCGGATGGCGTTCCACCGTACTTTATGGAACACACAGTTCGTAAAAAAAAACCTAGATGGCGCTTCGAACGACGGGAGGCGGACTGAAGTTAGTGATCGAAGTGGGGGCAAGGGGGGTACCCCTTCCGCGAGAGTTCCACAACTGAGGTATTCTGGTAATGTTGGTGTCAGGTGATCATGATGTCATGGGACGTCACAGTTTCCTCGCTGAATATAGCGGAGAGATTTCTTTATTCAAATTTGGTGGAAGACGTGTTTCGGGACGCTACAGTGCCTAGTGAAACCGACGTCGGGTGACGTCATATAAAGTCACGGGCCTGCACAAACACACGCGGAATCCGCTGCGATTTCTACTCCATAATAGCAATCGCCCTAAAATGTTGATAGACCAATTTCACCAGCCGATTTTGTTGCGCCACCGCTGCCGGCATTGTGCGAACTGCAGACTTTCTGCACGCCCGACAACTCTGCTGCGGGCTGCGCGAGCAGAGCACGAGGTTGCACGTGCTGTTTTTTGCACTGGCACCTGCCTCCTGTGAACTACCGTTGTGGCGGCGTCGCGCATGCATGCGACGCTTCGTAAGATCGGTCTATCGTCCAGAGTTGAAGGCATTTAGCAACACCATAATGCTGAAAGGCTGTCGTCATGGGTGAGAGTCGCAATATAAGCAACATCCTACGGATATACTGCGAAAAACAAGTTCACGGGCAACAGGCCCCACATACGGTTGTCAAATGCACGGAGACCATGCACGGAAACCATACACGCGGATGCAATGAAGCACGAGTGAGAGCAGAGTCATAAACGAACCTGTCGACTGCTTCACACTATTGTATAGTCGTCGATTGAAGGATACATTTTCACAGGCAGCTTTCTCGACAATTATGAAAGTCTCAAGATCACTGCTTCGTTTTGAATAATATTTCGCACAATAGTTTTGTCAGTGTTGAAACAAAATGTATACTCATCACTCGATTCGATGCCGTTATTCGATTATTTGATGCAGTCGCTAACACAACCCCCGCTAAAGCTGTTACTATTACTTCAGATAGGGCGCTAAAGAGGTGTAACCATGAGTGTATATTCATCACCTCTTTTACACCCTTAATCTGTTAAAAAGTTTGCGTCTGCACACAGAAAGAAAACTGCCACGCCTCTTTTCTTTACACGCGCAGTTTCAAAGCAGTTTCACTCTTTTATACGATTCTGGGCACAATCACAGCAGCCGCGACCCTTTTGGTGCGTTCAACTAGAAGCCTCTGCTTATTCACAGAAAAACAGTTAAGGATAAAACATATTCTTGCTTTTCGAGCTAGCAGAGCGCGCAAAACAAGAAAAGTTCCTTCTCCGCACAAATGTTACAACATAACGTTTGTAAGCCACTAGCTCCGATTATCATATTTCAGTTCACAGATTCGATATTTTTGTAAAGAATTTCATTTTAGCTTTGAGTGGTCTAAACTGATTCACAAATGCAAACAAATTGCAAACTTCAAGATCAGATCTATAAAAATAAATGGATCGGGCAGTCGGACTATAATGTCGTTGTGGACAAACAGATTTCTAAAAAAAAAAAAATCAAAATCTTCACAAGTAGTTGCTTAATACATAGTAGCAAGGTTATAGCATGGTCTTATACAAAAGGGTCTATATTCTCCTCCCTAAAAGAAGGGACGCTGGTGGTTACCTGTGTGCCTTCAGAACGGGAAGAACTTTTGTCGCAGAAAGCAGGGGAGCGGAGTTCGTCTGTCGTCTGCATCTCATTATGGCGGCCCAGACTGGAGCAAATCGAGCCCAATAATGCTTAACGAGGAGGCTACGTCTACTTTCCGGGACGAGAGAAACGGCCAATACAATCAGCATAACTCGAGCTTTCCGCGACCTGTATTTAGTTCCGAAGCCAGCTCCCCGCACAGATAAAAAAACTGGCGTTTTGAAAGCTTATCCTTGTAGCACAGTCCTCTCTTGTCGTAGCACTGCGATGTTAAAAACAACTCCGCTTTACTTTAGTTTCCGAAAACAAAAAACTATACAGTCCTTCTCAGCGTGACCTAGGAATGCCACACGTCAAATATTATGACCTAGTTCTGTCTAAATGTTTCTTAAACGGTCCGGCAAACTTTGAAACGCGCCAAGTTGCCGAAATCGGCAGACTCTATAGATGGCGATTCGAGGCGCAATCAGCAACGCAGTCGAGGCTACGGCGTTGGCGTAGCCCACATTGAGCTGAACGTCATCAGCATTACCCATTCTGTTTGTTTTTACTTCTCGGGGTAAGCGTAACAGGTGATGTCAGTAACGTTTCCTCCCGCCCTCTGCGATGTTCACGTGAGTGGCTTAACGCGCCTGCGGTGCGCGGTTTTTGAGCCGTACGGTCGTTCCTTCGTCTTCTACGTCACAACCTCCGTCATCGTCTCGACGTTCGTGATTATTGTCTCTCAGAGTTTCGTTCAGAGTACGTGCGCAGACTGATGCCGCCGCTGTGCAGAGGTCATCGGATATCGCAGACACCTAAACGTGGTAAAGACTGCGATGCAGACGACACGTGCGCCAGGCAGACGCCCGCCTCAAGGGTGACCCTCCCCGATCATGCCAACACCTCCTAGACAGATTGAGATCATGCCCGTCGTTGCGTAGAGGATCACGTGACATCTCGTTCCACGTGGTAGCCATGTTTTTGGCGGCTCGAGGCCAAAGTTGCCCGACGGAGCCGAAGTTTCGGTTTCGATTTCTGCTCATGTTTGAAGTAAGATGTTATCAAAATATATCCCATTTTTCGCGAAGGAAATGACGTAGTGCCTTTCATTAGTGCTTTTTAATGTGAAATTCCGATTTATCCCGAAATGTATAGAATTTTATGGAGTTGCCTTTTATAGTAAGACAACCTACGCCCAGTCACTTCGCGCACTTTACGTCTTACCTTTGCTATTCCTCGAGACAGAATTCCTTCGTCAGCACTCGGAGAAGTGGTAAACCATTCGCCAAACTGAATGCTTCTTAATTTTCTTCTAGGTTCTGGAGCGCTTCATTCCACCAAGCCATGACATGGAAGACATCTCAGGACTTATCTCGTACATGCTGAGGGTCCTTGAGAATGCCAATCTCAAGCCGCGCACATGCCAGGTGCTATCCCAAGACCGACACGGCTCCGACCCGAACGAATTCATCAGTAGGTTTTTGTGACTAGTCTTGCATGGTTTCTTATTTCGATGCGTATCCGTGGACTGATAGTTCCTATATACTCGGAAACTTTTCTTGGCCTTCCCGGAAAGAGTAGAAGAGCGCCGGCACAGCTCTTCTGCTAGGTTCCCGGACATTTCATCGAACGCCGTTTCGTCGAACGCCGTTTCATCGAAAAAATGGACGCTTTATCGAACGCCGTTTCATCGAAGGCCGTTTCATCGAATCGCTGACGGACGTTTCATCGAATGCCTTTTATATAAAAAGAGCGAAAGATGTTCTTTTATGCACGGTTCGGGTGCATTTTCGTGTCATTCACCCATTTTATCGTCAGGTTTTTTAATGTCCAAACTTGTAGCTGTTACAACTTATTTTGATGCAAGTAACTCATGAACATATTTGTACCGATTTTATGTTTGTTTCGCATATTGTACTTATCTGTTCACCCCCTCTGTATTACCCGATGGGCCTTGAGGGTATTATAACAAATAAATAAAAAGTCGCACTCCCGGTAAGAGCGCACTACAACTGATGGAGGGCAGAAGGCGATTTAGGTTTTGCGCAGGCACAACAGCTTTAGCCATGTGAGCCTCCTACCCTCTCATGTCTTGCTATTGATACCTTTTTACTGCCCGAAGCTTGCAGTAGTTAAAGCTGAGGTGCTATTTATGAAACTACAACGAAACATTATTTTTTTTTAGTTCTAAGACTCAATGAAGTCAAAATTAAGTACGTCACTTCAAATTTTATTTGAAAACTTTCGGAGGTTCATGTGTTCGTGCAACAGCCATTCGCCGTTTCAAATGCAAAAAGCCACCAAAGCCATGCTCTGTCGGTTCTCATAAAAAAGGCGGACCTTCTCATTTCTTGACGCTGTGGCCTTCTGGCGAGGAGGCTCTTGGGAACTCAGCATCGCCTCCAGGTTGTCTTCCGTCAGTTGATGTTCTGCGGCGATGCAAGTCAAAAACTTCCAGAATCTGGGATGGGCACCCCCGACCAGCTTCAGGAAGCGGGAATGCCATCCTGGCGTTCGATAAGACGGCGTTCGATAAAATGGCGTTCGATGAAACGGTTTCGCTGAAACGGTGTTCGATGAAACGGCGTTCGATGAAACGGCATTCGATGAAACGGCTTCGATGAAACGGCATTCGACGAAACGGCGTTCGATGAAATGTCCGGTCCCACTTCTGCTATGCAGAATGAAAACGCGTGCCCGCACCTTCAACTCCCCAAAAAAAGTTGTCCCCAAATAGGCGTATGATCCAGACTTGTACACGTTACTGAAAAATAGTAAGGAATTACACTTACAATTACTCAAGGCTAAATTGTAATTTATTAGAATTACAATTACCCTCTCATAAAAGTAGCTGACCGTTACCCCAAAAAGTAATCTGTTACTTTCGTGGCGTTACTTTTAACATTATTGTCCTCAAGTAAGAAACAAAGGGAAGAGGGTTATTCAAGTTAATATTGTTGCAACGTGTTTTATTTAATGACCTTGAGTATTTTGAGCAACAGCAAGCTCTCGAAAGTCTCGTCAAACATCTTGTGGTATTTCTTACTCAATATGTCGACTGCTACGCTGAACACCCTTTGAGCTGAGGCACTGGATGGGAGTGCCATATTGTTCCTCACGAATGCTTCATTTTCTGCATTGAGCTTTTTCAGCGAAGCTAGGGAAGTACTATTTACTTCGAAGATAGAAGAAAGCTTCGTCGTTGCAGCCGTTGCCTGATATTCGAGAGATTTAGTCCATCCTTCCGATACCTCCGATACCCGCGATAACAGTACCTGATAACGATATAATGGCTGCGCAAAGACGGCGGCGAAGTATCGGATATCATTATCGGAGTCATCGGACCGAGCTACTAAAATTCTCTATTGTCTAAATTGCGAAGCTGTGGAAGTCATCAATAGCAAAACATAGTTGTAACAGTAAGGTGATAATTAAATATTAAATAAGGTTTGGCTCGATATTCTTCCTTTGGTTCGGAACAGTTGGAGCCCCACTTGGGACGTTGGTGAATAAAAAAAGTTTCCAGTATATAAATATAAGTAGTAGAAGAAACAGGACACTCATAACAAACAATTAATTAGAACGTCGGTTAAAACAAGGAACTGTAAACGCACGTTTGCCGTGTGTACCTTTCTTGGTGCCGTTCAAAAACGCACGGAGCACGGACCGACTGCAGTTTACTCCGGTGTTCTCCAAACAGACGTCCGGGGATGCCACGGGCTATGGCCCCACTCACGAATTTCACTCTCTCCTCAAGCCCAGAATATCATGTCTACGTCAGCCACCATTATGTTTTATATGTAAAAATATCTGCATGAGATAAGATGCGTCCTGCTGGGGCAAAACAGAAAGAAGAAGAAAGGAAAACTATTACCATTTTCTAAGTGCTCGCAAAAAGCTGACTCACAAAAAGGGTAGGGTAGACGGAGCGTTGTCTCGTGTGGTGACATTATGAAACCGGTCGTAGTCACTATAACCGGGAAAGACATTGTTAATCCTTTTCAGCGCACTTACCGCCTCGAACTTCTCGAAGAGGCATACAATCACTCGGTGTTCCCCTCTCCCCGTCTTCGATCGCTAAGAAAAAACAAAGGAACTAAAAAAAGAAACCGGAAATAACTTGGCCATCCTCCCCCCCCCCCCTCTTTTTTTTTTTTTTTTTTTGTAGAAATGTTTATTTGGATTTTTTGACATTTCCTGTTAGGGCCAAAAAAGATTCAGGGGCTTGGTTCCGACAAAAAAATGTAACGGATTACAAGGGATCCGTTACGTAAAAAATGTAAGGGAATTATTTTAAAATTACTCTAGAAAATATGTAATTATTCCGTTACTAAATTACTGATAAATGTAAGGGATTACAAGTAATTTCGTTACTTGTAACGGATTACGTACAAGTCTGGGCGTATCCGGTATAAGCGACGAAAAAATAACAAAAAGGTTTTAACCTGCAAATAGGAAAACAAATAGAGGGGAGTTAAAACGAGCATATGTGACGGCTGCGTTTTATCCTAAATGTATGGTACTGGTGTGGAGACGGCCTATGTTTTCTCGCATACTGGAAGTAAAGAGAAGAATGCGAGAGCAAAGGGTGCGATTAAAACTGGGTACCGGTTTTCTTCCCGGCAGAAGGCGATTTTGTAGGTCGGCCTTTAAAGTGGAAATAATAGAGGGTTATGTAAAGGAGCACTGATATTTTTTTTTTTTTTTATCTCCCACGGGGTATAAAGACAAGGTCTTGTTCGCGGATATCTCGTTTACCGCTCGTCATCCTCCGAAAATGCAGAAGACTAAACGTCGCATTCTTTTCTTTTTTTGGCACAAAATATGTTTTATTACTATATTTTCATGAGCTTCTGTGACTTTTAGTTCTAACGGCCGACTGTAAAAGGTTCCGTACAATCCGTCGTAAAGGGGCGCGCGCGCACTCCCGCCATGGTTCCGTTACGTTGTCCAAGAGCCGGCACTCTACAGTCCGGTGCCTCGGCGAAGCCATCGCAGCCGGCGGCGGTCGGTGCGCTGGGTGCGCTTCGGCGGCGCCGTCGCGGAATAAATCACGCCAGGCGCCAGGCTAGCCCGACCAGAATGCTCCACGCGCGCTCACCTGGCTCGCCGCACTTGCGCAGTCGCACCCGGAGTCCCGGAGCCTGCGAGCGATAGCGGCCCGCAGTGGCAATTCTGGTGATCTGCAAGCAATGTCTGCGCTGTCTGTCGAAGTGATAGAGCGTTTATGCTCATGCGCTACACAGTCCCTGCGTCGATGTGCGTCGGACTGTAGAAAGGAGCATCTCCGACGCGCCGGGGCTAGCGTAGCTTGCGTCAACCACCTCTGGCGACCACGCCGAGGACGTCGGGCTATAGTGAGTTTTAGTATTGCGTATACGAGCAAACGCGAGCGCTGCGCGTTAGTGTTTTGAGTTCTCCACGATGCGCATGCGCGAAGTTGCCATGCGCCAATCCAAGGCCGCAGTTTGGGCTCCGCGCACACGCAGTGTGCAACACTCAATGCTAACGCAAACGCACAGGACTTGCGTTCTCTGGTATATGCAATACTAAAAGTCACTTCTATCCAGTAATTAGCAGCCGGCTGTAACGGCCAGCTGCAGCGGCCGGCTGCAGTGATCGAACTATGGGGGGCGCTTTGAAAGACGCGCGCAGCGCCGCTAGCGGAGGAGCTGGCATTCGACAGTGAAGCGCGTTCAGCGGCCTCCGGCGCCTTTTCACATGCCAAGCTGTGGCGGCGGAAGCGCGAACTGACGAAACTTTTGCTTTTTGAGCCGATACGTTGAGGGTGACGTTGCATGAGTGCTGGGGCAGAAGGGCATTTAGCTGTTTTCCACTTACATATTGAGTTTGAGTCGTTATTAAAGGTAATTTCTGTAGTTGCGGCCGAAAAAGGAGTTGGAGCAATTTTCCGAAAAGCAAGGCGGCCACCACCATAATTGCTCTGAGTGAAAAATGTATTTCGCTCGTCGCTGTAAACGTAGGACTGCTGGAACGATGATATATGGACTCGAGTGAGATGTTCACTAAGTTTGTGCACGAAGTGTGCCAAGTTTCATTAAGACAGCAGGTGTGAAAGTTACGTTTCTAACGAAAAAGAAAGAAAGCTGTACGGGATATCCAATATTGGACCCAAAATGTTGTGCTATAGCGGGCTGTGCAAAGTGCAAATTTGGGCACACATGTTGCTTAGACTTGACAGTAACATGACACAGCACTCATTATACCAAAAAGAGATGGCATAGGGAAACCAGGTGGAAATTTGGTTTGGGCGGCGTAACTCAATGGGAACCGGTTTTGACCATGAAAGTGCTGTCAAGAGAATACCACTGGTCGTGGGAGGTGGCGACTTTACAGGTAGGAAGGGAATAGCGAACTGTACTTACAATTGAAACAACTTTACGAAAGGTGGTTCCGAAGCCGAGAGAACAAAGCTGTCGGCCAACACGCGGTTTGGCCGTCAAATGCTTTTGCAATCAGCTGTTGTGTAATAACCTGTTGTCCGAGGTGCTGATTTTCGGTGCACAGGTACTTTGACATGACCGTAACTTTACACAACACTTATTATACCAAAAAAAGTTGGCCTAGAGAAACCAGGTGGAAATTTAGTTTGGGCGGCGTAACTAAATGGGAACTGGTTTTGACCGTCAAAGGCTGTCAAGATAATACCACTCATCGTGGGAGTTGCACACTTTACAGGTAGGAAGGGACCAGTGGACGGTACTCCCAGTTCGAACCACTTTACGGTAGGTGGTTGTAAAGCCGAGAAGAAAAAAATTGTTGTTTACAGAATTCGGGGTGTCAGCGTTTCCACATCCAAAAGGACGCTGATCAAGAAAGAAAGCACACCACATTAACTTCCATACTCAAACGTCGATTCTCCACTGATTTCGAGTTTCATTGTTGTTTTCTTTAAATTCATATTGTCACTTTTTTTACCCTTCGAATCTTTCTTCATGAAGTACAGATTGCGTGCCATACTTGGCCGGAAATATCATCGACGCGTACGGTGGGGACGAAACTTCTTTGGAGGGCATTCCTCCAACGAAATTGGCACTGCATACTCCCGAGTGTGGGGTGGCATTTCAGCTCGTCCCATCGGCGCTAACACATGTAGGCGTTACTGGTACGAAAACAAACGCAGAGCGCAAAGCGGCAGTGCAGAACATGTCAGCCGTGCCGACACAGTGGCAGACATGATCGGGAGACAAAATTTCTCGCGTCGTCGTTGTCGCTGTCCCACAAAATATCGGCGAGGTTAAAAACTGAAACTTTCTCCACACGAGATACGACGCATAACTATTGAAGCATTCAATGACGCAGCACAGGCAGCACTTCACGCTGTAAATCCAGCGCAACCGCACCGCTCGGACTTCAATGCGTACCAACGTACGCGGCGTGGTTTCGGTTTTGTTTCTCTGGAGTTCTCACTGCCTATATTCGGTACCGGGCGCGCGGTGGCGCGCCAGTCGCGTCGCACGGAGCCGTATATGTAGAGAGTTTGGCCATTCGTTAGGAAGTATACGATAAGTGATCATAAAAAAATACTTCAGTCTCTTCTGCACGATTCGAACTCACCAGCTTCAGATTGTGGGCCAAGGACTTTGGCGACGTAGCTATCCATGGTCGGTGCTATGACCCACGCAAAAGCGAGCTCATTTGCCAGGCCCTTAGTGTCATGTAGTGCCATCACACGGCGTTTGTTAGAAATGAAACCTAATCTTAGGTAGGCGATGCCGCTCAGACGCCCGTCTCTTTTTCAAGTCTATCGCACACTTTGTACTGACCTGTCTTTCTCAACATAATCGAGCATTTATAACCTATTTATTTCAGAACTCGAACTTTCTTTAGATCCCGTTCTACCCTTGCTGCCGGAGGAATCAAAGGCCCAATTCAAGACTGACGTGGCGGACATCATTAACAAGATGTGGACTGAGAAACCAGCTGGGGATCCACAGCTTGTGACGGACATGTTCGTGGTTCACGCGAGCAAAATATAAAATAAAAAAGTTTTTTAAAGAAGTTTTTTTGTTTTTTTTGTAACGGGTGCTTAATATTTATTTTTATGTTCATATACCGAACAAGTGGCTTCGTATTCTAGCACAGGAGTAACCGCTGGAATAAAGATTAATGCAGGTAAGTCCCGCCAGCCGATAACTCCGTGAGGTGGCTCATACACCCGCCGTAAGTCGACTTAATTTTACAATACGGATTTTTGTAGATCAATCCCATAACTCTGATAACCATGCACAATACTTCGCCAGCACCTTTACGTATGTATTGTATCTGTATCGGGTATTGTTATAAAATGTATCAGGATAATGTACTTAAAATTCCTAGTACAGATTTTTAAATATCACTTTTCGGAATTTCGATAGCGATACACAAAACATTAAAGAGCGTCTTGACGCGTTTATTGTATTCTTATTCAGTGTCGTTATCGGAGATATTATAACGCCATAATAGGAAGTTTTAGTTTATAATTTTGGGGATTCCGAGAACGACATTCGATATCCCGTCAACACATTGCTATTGGTTCGGAGCGCAAAAACGCCCCATTAAAACTTTTTTCTAACTTGTACTCCTCTCGCGCAGAAAAAAAGCATTGTCATTTTTTGCAGACGATATTCATTTTTTATGTTAATTGTGTATTCAACATGACATTCGCTTTTAAATGGGTTCGGGGGAACCTACAGTTGCCCTCGCACCATCTGAGTGACACCGACAGCAGAAACGCAGTGAACAACGGCAACGTGAAATTGTAATAGGAAAATACAAACTGTTATTTTCACGTGTCACTAGGTGTTGAATTCTTCTTTTGCGGCATTAAACGGCATTGCACAAGGCAATTTCAAAGGGCTATTTCTGTACTTTAATATACATATAAAAAAGAGAAAAAAAGTGTGTGGTGTGTATGTTTATACAGCCTGAAGTTTGCTGATAGATGACCAATTTAGTCAATGCAGTGTATACAACCACTAGCATAAATGTTTTTTTTTTTTTTTTAACGTGCATTAGGCAATATTGATACACGACCGCACTCAAATGTGATGCTCATCCAGATCGAAACGGGTGGAAATGGGGATTGAGCACAGAATCCCTGCATGGGTTCTGCAGCGCGATCTTTCGCTCAACGTACTCCGAGCTGGTGTGCGCTAACCCACTTGGCCAACGAACCCCCAAGAAAGAGTAATGTTTGTTCTTACAAGTGTCCAATCCAGATTGAATATTTGTTACCCAACATTCTGGAGGCATTTGGATACCGCAGGCAACATTTTACTTGGAGCTCTGTCCCATAGCGTATATGGCTTATCCGGGCAGGTTATAACTTATAAAGCATTCAAAGCAATGAAAAAATAAAATTATGAACATTTTAATGTTATTATTTGTCGTCAAGTGACGCGAATTAGCAAAAACTGCGTTATTACAACCGACTAACCACCTCCACAGTATAAACTCTCCGTCTTACTAGTACTACGCTTTAGTAATATTGATATTTTGAACATTTAAACTACGTTGCTTTTTTTAATAATGCGGTACAAAAATGTCTTGCTATTAAATGCCCTATTAATTAGCTTAACCATTGTCTTAGCGGTTAAAGACTACAAAATATTGCGGGGGGAAGAACCTTAAAACCTTTGACGTCATATGAGAGTTACATGACGTCATGGTGTCGCGTGACGTAATCATCGCACGTGTCGTCACGTTACGTCACATGACATCATGACGTCACGTGAAATCATGACATCATGACTAGAAGAAGTTTTCTACCGTCGAAACATCGCTTTGCTTTCCTATGGAACACCAATTTTACGCTGCAGTGAAAGAAATTTTTGGTGGTCCGCTCGCTGACCAACGAAAACGATTTCCTTTCGTCCGCCATTTTGCCTGACCAGCGCGCCCCCTATAGATCGCTGAAGTCGCGAATAGCTCTTTTTGTTTTATTATGACGTAGTTTATAACAAGAAAACATTTTTCAATTATTCTGCATCTTACGATATAATTATATTTATAGTGAATCTTTCTTCTACGCTATTTTCAGCATTTGGGGGAATGGAGAATTCATTTTTCGTTCTCAAAAAGACTAGTAAAAACAAATGCAGTTGTTTGGTAAGATCGTTTAAATAATATACACATATGATTTCTATTTGATTTAAACTTATTGAATAAAACTATTTATTATTATAAATTATAACTTCCCTATTTGTTTCAGAAACGTCTCTTCAAAAGCGATCCTGGCGTTTCATTTTGCAGTCATCTATTGCCAGACTTGTACGGTACTCATTACAAGTAATCAAATTACTTGTAATTGATTACTTTTTGAAGTAATTTTGTATTCATTTGATTACTTTTGTTTTGTAGTAATCACAAGAGTAATTTGATTACTTTTGAAAGTAATGGAATTACTTGTAATCATTACTTCTTTCCTAACCCCCCCCCCCCCCCCCCCCTCCCCTCGGCCAACCTAGTCACGACTCGAGACACGAGACGTCTCCACTTTATCAGCTTCTAAGCTTTTGGAATCCGAGAAAATAAAGGCATTGTTGTCGAGCTCTACGAAAGGAGGTCATGCTCTTTGTTTGGACAGTTCGCAGTGTGGTTTGTTGGAACTTGGATTTCGACTCGGTCTGTCAGGTTCGGATTCTCGACAAAAGCCTTTCAGTGCGAAGTTCGATGGTTAATGTAGAATGTTTGTCTCCATTAACTCTTCATACAGTCCACCCCTCTTATATATTAAAAAAAAGAACTCTAAATCCTGGTCAAAGCACCTCTACACTCTTCTGCCTCCAAGATAACCAAAGCCATGTAATGTAAATGCTAAGGTGTGACTATAAATGTGAGCTCTAAGAATTCATATCCTTTGGCAGAAGTGACAGCCGCTGCCGGATCATTATCTTATTGGGAAACTCTAGGAAAGAAAAGGCTCCACACGGAAGAAAAGGGGAGAAGCTGCTTATTTGTACTAACTTAGAGCAATAAGCCACAAAGAGCGCAAAAGCGATATCTCCGGAGCTGGAGAAAGCCTGGCGCGTCGCGTGAAAAGACGGCCGCCGTAAATGGGAAAGGAGGGGCGGAGAAACGGGAGCTGAGAGAACCTTGTCCGCTAGTGCCACAAAAGAGCAAGCGGCCAAACGCAGAAACAATCTTTTTTTTTTTCTCTCTTTTCTTGTCGCTATCGTGGAGAGGAGAAACTCAACGTCCACCCTTTCCCGTTTCTCCCTGCGCCCTTTCGAATCGCCGCGCCCGTTTCTCCCGGAGCACGAAAACGACGGTGACGAAAACACAAAAACAAGCGTGGTTCGGGGAGCGGCCGCTCATGACCCAAGCGCTCGCTGTCTAGGTCTGCCCTTTCTGCTCTGCGCTACCATACTGGTCACCGTTCGGCGCGCTCCTCCTCTCCTTTTTCCTGCGGCCGCGCGCTCTATGGCTCCGTCGTCGATGTGCCAGGCTTTCTCCGTATAGAGGAGGCTATGATATAGGTCACCGTAGCTCAGTGGAACTAACAGGATCTAGCGTCCTTAGCACGCACTTCATGAAATATTCGAGCTCGCTCTACCACGCCCATGCATTATTACACCCAAAAAGCCTGAATACGGGAATCCGGAAAGGGTGGATCGAGATTATGAGTAGTCCAGCGCTTCTGTTACAACCAAGGAGGGATGAAGGCGTTCCCGGGTGAATAGCTCGGAACTTAGAAATTTTACGGCTATAAAACACGATGTTTCAGTCGTGTTTTATACAGAGATGGCTCATGGTAGGGAGGTCGGTGACGCCGCGTCTCCGTGGCCGCAGCTGGCAAGCTTGTTTGTGCTGAAGGAAAAGCGAGGTGATGGCAACCTCACATTTCAGTGTTTACTTTGTAAGCCTAAAGAAAAGCTCCTGTCTTGTTCCATGGTGACGAACTCGAACCTGCGAAAGCACGTAAAGGTATGTTTTATTAGCCGTGCATGTCCGCAGTATGTGTGTGTGTTTTTTTTTGTTTTGTTTTTTTTAATTTATTTATTAATCACAATCGTTCTTTTAGAGTCTACACCCCGGGAATCTGGCTGACTTTGGAAACTCTTCGCGGAAACGGAAGCTGTCTGAAGCTGCTTCGACGTCCACGCCGAAACAACTTACCCTCAACTTTGCAAGCGGGCGGGTGCCTCAAAAGCAGCTGGACAGCCTGATTGTGAATTTTGTTGTAGATTCCCTTCAACCTTTCCCTGTCGTCGAGGCTCCCAGTTTCGTTAAACTTGTGGATACCTTGGCCCCTGAAAACACGGTACCAACACGGAGAATGCTGATGGCGAGAATCGACGATCGGTACGAAGAGATGAACACAAGCCTGCGGGAAGCTTTCGACGAGGTTCCTTACGTCACTGTGACCGCCGACTGCTGGACATTGTTCCGACGGTAAGCCTCTTTAAGATAACATCGTGTATTCCTTGTACGTTCTTGTCGCATATCCAGAATGTTCGTTTCAAAGTTATATGCGTGGGTTTGTATTTGCTGGTCTCTGTATTTAAATATAAAAGTCTCCTCATGGAAGCTTTTTGTCCGGCGTCCTCGGCACAGTGCGGCTGGAATAAATTCAATTCAATTCAATTATTTTCACTTTAAAAAAAAATACCAAGAAGATGAGTTGTCGCGGAAACTTTTTTTTTTTATTAAATTCAGAGATATAAAAGCGCTGATACTGCTAAAATACGTAACTAGTTTAAGAGACATAATATGACCTTAATGTTCAGACAATACCAGTATTGTCTACTGGCAATTAAGCTGGCGGGTTCTTGTTTTCGCAGTACAGTTTATACAAAATATTTGTTTTTTTCGCAGGTGCTATCTGGCAGCGACAGTTTCTTGGCTCGAGTCGGCTTCCCTGAAGAGGAACTCTGCAGTACTGATCTGCCAAAGAATGACGGGCAGCGTCACGCACGACAAGATTGCAGACCTTCTTCTGGAGGTTTTCAAGGAGTACGGCCTTCAAGGAAAAGTCACCAAGGTTGTGACCGACAAT